ACACACACACACAGTAGTGTGGCTCAGTGTTTTCTCCTGTTTGGTGCTGCGTTCAAACACCACATACTGCTGACACTGATCCAAACGTCGCTTCTTCATGGTCCAGAAATGCAGAACTCTGTTTTCCCTCTGTAGCAGTTCATTCAGGATGGCTGTTCAAACACCACACAAACACCACACACACACACACACACACACACACACACACAATATGGTTAGGTAAGCTAAAATAATCTAATGCAACTTAACTAGTATGCCATGTATTTTTAAATATATTTGTTATTACATATCATGTAATGATAGTGATGAAGTTGCAATTTAGTACATGTAAAATATATTAAGTTTAAATATATATATATATATATATATATATATTTTTTTTTTAATTCTTGTTGGTTTTATTTGTGCCATCGAAATCGTTTTTGGTTCACTTTTAGCAGTTTGTGTTTATTTATTTTGTAATGTTGGTTTATGTTTTTATTTGTTGAATTGTTGTGTTTTGTATGTCGAGTATTGATGCCACATCTTTCAAAGACGTTTCCCAGCGGATGCCTCACTATTGTGAAAGATCCATCCACAAACAGTTATGAATATGAAATAAGTTATTGATTAATTAACATGAATGAATGAATGACTGGATAAACAAAGCATGTTTTGTGAGAGAGAAGCTAAGAAATGCTGAAAATATGAAAAGATGGACACACAGTTATCAGATTCTGATAGCTTTGAAGCTCTGACCTTTGACCTGCTGCTGAGGGCCGCGCGTGTTGCTGGATGATCCCTGAGTGCTGACGTTATTCCGATGGATGTATTTCAGAAACACCTCAGCATTTCGCCTGGCCAGAGTACACGCCTGAAAAACACAGCAGACTTTACAGATCCAAAAACAGACCCTCACATGCACACCAAATGTTGACCAAATTATGACCAAATATTGTGTCTGCTCCTCTCTAAGATGCAGGAGACCCGTTTGTGATTGTTGGTAACTTCATCTGGGCTGACTGATACTGATAGAGAGGTCGCTGTTCAGTGGTGACCTTGAGAAAAGCCTCTTTCTGCTCCAGGTGTTTGCTGATGAGAGGCAGCACATGATCCGTCTCTGCTGAAGACCCCAGTTTATCATGAGCTCCACACCAGTCCTCGTCTCTGCGGTACTCCTGCTCCAGACTCTCCAGCACGCTGCACACCTGTGAATAAGCCATTCGTGTGACATTTAGCATGACGCAGGGCTCGGGAACTAGCTGTCACTGCCGTGTCACTAGCTGGTCAGATATTATGGATATAAATAATAATTGTCTCTTCATTCAAAACTGCCACCAGCCCTTGTGAATAGAAGTACACTTCAGCATACTTAGTACTTAGTATGAAAAGTTCTTCTCCTTATACTTAAGTGCAAACTGAAATTAAAGTTTCGGGCATTTAATTGCATGTTATTTACAATTAAATTAAAACGCATTATAGTTAAAATGTATAATAAATGAAATAATTTGAACTTTGTTGAAATGCTTCTTGGACCCACTTTAGTAGGACTTATTCTATATTCTGTAATTTTATAATTACATTGTCTTTCGAATATGGTTAGGTAAGCTAAAATAATCTAATGCAACTTAACTAGTATGCCATGTATTTTTAAATATATTTGTTATTACATATCATGTAATGATAGTGATGAAGTTGCAATTTAGTACATGTAAAATATATTAAGTTTAAATATATATATATATATATATATATATATTTTTTTTTTAATTCTTGTTGGTTTTATTTGTGCCATTGAACTTGTTTTAGTTCACTTTTAGCAGTTTGTTTTGTTGGTTTATTTTGTAATGTTGGTTTATGTTGTAGTGTTGGTTTTATTTGTTGAGTGTTACCATTGTTGTGTTTTGTATGTCGATGATTGATGACACATGTTTCAAAGACATTCACAGCAGTTGCTTCACTATTGTGAAAGATCCATCCACAAACAGTTATGAATATGAAATAAGTTATTGATTAATCTTCATGCTTAAATAAAATCTTCACGTTCATGCTACAAATAGTTTGACTAACTTAAAGTCAGGCAATGAGCTTATTTCATATTCTAGCTTGTCGTCATTTTGACAAATGTTTTCATTTGTCACACTTCCGATCAGAATTTTGAATATGAATATACAAGGTCCAAGATCCCAAACAAATGCTAATCACTAACCACCATTATGGTGACTTCAAAACAATTACAGCAGTAAACGACTACATTTCTCACAGTGGCACAGTTAAAGACCACTTTATAATGTGAATTCACAGTAAAACAAGAGTAGTAAGTTACTGTGATGTTAGCATCATCCTGCTGTTCATTCACAGTCCTTTGTAAGAAAATGACCCAGCATGCATTGATTTCATAGTCAATTTCTGACTACAGTAATTTATTGTAAAATAATACTCTTTAATCCTGTAAATTACTGGCATTTTTTTCAACAATTCAACAATTAAGCACACTTTTTTCACATTGGTAATGTGCCACTGAAACTAGTCTTGGGACACTTGACCGTCTTGTAGTAAGTCTTCTAGGGTTGAAACAGTCATATGGTGAAGTGGACTGCTGGGTGTTTCTCAGCACCTGTTCGGATGTCTTGTAGAAGGCTACAGAGGCGTTAACCAGCTTGAGTCTGTCCTCCATCTTCATCATGAGCTGCTGCCAGTGTACTGCCACCTTCTCAGCACAGCTGCGGATGGCCTCAGGGTCGAAGTGTCCGGCTTGTAACATGATCTCGGCCTTCTGCTGCACCTGCAGTGCGCTCTGATGGGTCTTCTGAAGAGAGTTAGCATGAAACAGAGACTGCAGGGAGAGAAAAAAAGAGAGAACAGCAAGTTAAATATACCTTAGATTGGAGGTTACATTACATTACATTCAGTCATTTAGCAGACGCTTTTATCCAAATGAGGACAATGGAAGCAATCAAAATCAACAAGAGAGCAATGATATGCAAGTGCTATAACAAGTCTCAGTTAGCTTAACGCAGTGCACATAGCAAGGGTTTTATTTTTAAGTTAACAATTCATAATAGACTATTACACAGTATGCAGCTACATAGTGTGCAGCATGTAGGGAGCACTGTGCTGGTGTTCCATTCTGAACATAGCCAATAATTCCACATGTTCTGCAAAAAGGAGGACATGTTTTAATTTAATAAACTCTTAAATCACAAGCATTAAAGGAGACAGATAATTAAAAGTGAGCAACTATTAGAAGTGGATCAATTGAGCATCTTTTACAGTACACCGCTGACAGCTTTAGGTTTTCTACAGTCAAACTGTGTTCTGTCTGCTGGCATTGTCATGATGAAGGAAAAAATAAATCTAACTTTAATAGTCAGCTACGGTCATTTACCAGCAGAGTCGAGCAGGTAGAACCTCGTCCAAAGCAGGAAATAGAGACCAATGCCAAATCCTGTGATAAATGACATGACTACTGTACTGAGAGATAAAGACTGATAGCAGAAAGCATGATGCATTCCTTTGCTTTGCTTGCCTGGGACAAAATAAAAAAAAAATCTTTGATGATAGTAAATATTATTTGGCAGAATCTGGCCCTGTATCGCCAAGTGTACGCAGCACTCTCAAAAGAAAAAGCCGGGAGCAGCTCTAGACTCTCTGTGGGTCATAAATCCTTCAGGAGAATGTTATGATCCCTGTGTGAAATTTTATGAATGAACGATTCCTGCTGGATCTGTTTGGAGTATTCTGAGAGTAATCACTTCCATACATCTCTCAGTGTTAAACTGTATGCTGAGAGCACAGCGACAGAAGGTTTTTGACTAAAAGTGAAGTGAGAGCAGAGGAGATGTGATATTATCGACTGTGCAGACACATTTTATGTTGATAGATGTTGATATGTAAATGTGAATGTGCTTTTTGAACATTTCAGACTCCATAAGCGGTCGTTCTGGACTGGCGAGGGATTTTTAGTGCATGTTTGAGTGTGTCTACATAGCACATCAAACTAATCCTGTTTTTCTTTTTCCTTTATATGACCATTAAAAAAAGAACAAGAGAGATTGATATGGAGAGAAAGAGAGGTGGGGGAATGAACTTCAGTTATTTCATCTGTGTTAAATTCAGAGCTGAAGTGATGTTACTATAGATGTCTCACAGATAAAAGTTATACAAAAATGTTCAGAATGTACAGAGAGAGAAACAGAGACAATGAGGGAGCCTGTGTGTGTGTGTGTGTGTGTGAGTGTGTGTGTGTGACGAATCCAACCCAGAACCTAAACAACACGCAATACAATGAACACGACTTCAGAAATGTTTTTGTATATTTAACTGCATGCAGTATTAATTTCAATAAAATAAAAATGTATTACAGTTTACATTTATATTAATTGCATTTAGCTGAACTTTAAAGTGCTTTTGACACACTTAAGTAGGATTAAATACATCCTTATATGCAATTTCATAATTCTAATTTCTTTGAAATATGGTTAATATGTGCTGACAAGCATTTATGGTAAATCAAAATATACTTTAATGTAATTTCTATTGAAACTTGTACGTCATGTATTTAAATATATTTTAATTACACATTTGTAATGGTGAAGTTGCAATTTAGCACATTTAAATTAAATTATTAAGTCTACATGTAATATCAAATAACACACTACAGCTAAAATTATAATCAAGTACTTTACATCTGCTTTAGTATGTTAGTCAACAACAAAATAAGTAAACTTAATCTATCTATCTATCTATCTATCTATCTATCTATCTATCTGTCTGTCTGTCTGTCTGTCTGTCTGTCTGTCTGTCATCTATCTCTTCATATGCATTAAGTGCACACAGAATTAAGTGTTGGGTAAGGTTAGGTTGAATCATCTGCATGACATTACACTGCAATAGCTGTCAGTCTGATCAGAATATGACACTGTCAGTGTGGAGTGATATCTTGGTGAGACTGAGCAGAATTCATAACTGCTCATAATTTTTCTCCATTAGTGCTAGTGTAGTGGCAGACACGTTAGGACTGTCCCTGGCGACAGCACTCTGGCCCTCACTTAGGCTCTGAATGAGATTAGCTCTGAGAGCCACACTGAATCAGCCAGCATAGCCGCTGCATCTCTCTCTATTGATTATCAATCAGAGGAAGTCAAAAGAGAGCCACATGAGACTGTGTGTACGTCCAGCACTGCGATACATCAAGATTGTGAGAGACAGAAGAGCAGATGAGTGACCTAAGACAACCAATACTTTGTTATTTTTGACAAATGGATCCGCTAGGGTGAGTCCTCTAAAAGACCTGCGGCATTATGGGTAAAGGGAAAACACACCTACACTACTGTTCAAAAGTTTGGGTTCAGTAAGATTATTTATTTATTTATGTAGCAGTGGCAGATTAAACTGATTAAAAGTGACAGTAAAGGTCCTTACAAATAAATTGAAAATAAATGCTGTTCTTTTTAACTTTCTATTCATTAAATAATGATAAAAAATATATATATCATGGTTTTAACAAGTGTTATAAATAAATAAATAAATTCTTGAGCACCAATTCAGCTTTCCCATAATTGGAATATATTAAATTGTAAAACATATTACAATAGAAAAGTATTATTTAGATGCATAATATTTTTTATTTTATTTAATTACTTATTTTTAAATCAAATAAATGCAGGCTTGGTGAGCATAAGTGATCATTACTGAAATGTTGAAGGTCTCTTTATATCACTCCATAATTCAGGAGTGATACACACACACAAAATGTAGCCATATTTTGACAAATCAGGTGAATGATATATAAAACAAACCAAAAAAACTGTAAAGTTTGGTTTATGTAAGTCCTACTGAAATTGAGATTTCGGTCTCACAGCATGAGGAAACAAACAAACAAACAAACAAAAAAATCTGATTTTTTTTTTTTTTTTTTAGAAAACTCCCTTTAAATATATGGGCTGTATTTAAAATGTAAAGACACAAATAGACAAAGTGTAATGAAATAAACAATCTTAAATGTGTATTTAGGATGTTTTCCTTTCAATAGACTGAAAGAAGTTATAGAAGCAAAATAACCAAAAATCTCAAAATTAACCAATGCCTGAAAAACGTCTCAGGTTACGTATGTAACCATGGTTCCCTGAGTAGGGAATGAGACACTGCGTCCTCTAGGGGTCGCTATGGGGAACGCCTCGTCGTGACCCGTGTCTGAAGCATACATTGAAAAAACACCAACAACACGTTGGCCGGCGACAGTCATGACGTCACTACCGGTGCGACTATAGTATAAATAGGCACCGGGAGAACACATCATCCACTTCTTCGTCTGAAGCTTGCGTCCGAAGCATGGCAAGAAACCTAGAGGACACAGTGTCTCATTCCCTACTCAGGGAACCATGTGCACACTTACCACTTATGTGGATTTTAAGAAAGTGCGCAAAGCTTAACGTGTGCACTTACCATAGTAAGTGGATTCAAGAGTTTTACTTTTCCAAGCATCTGCTCACAGATACCCGGAAGTACTGAGCCAAACGGGAGAGG